GAATATGAACTGTCTGAAAGAACACTTATAAATAACACCTAAAATGCATAAACAGCAAACATTTTGTATAATAGCTGATGGAGTATGTTTTATTTTATTCCTACCTTTGGCCTCTGATAGTTATTTTACCTTAATTTTTCTTTATCTTAAAAATAATTTTGAGCCGGGCTCGGTAGCTCAGCCTGTAATCCCGCGTTTTGGGAGGCTGAGGTGAGTGGATTGCCTGAGCCCGCGGGTTCGAGACCCGCCTGGGCAACTTGGCGAGACCTCATCTCTACATAAATCAAAAATTAGCCGGGTGTGGTATTAGCCGGGTGTGCACCTGTAGTTCCAGCTACTTGGAAGGCTGAGGCGGAAGGATCGCTGGAGCCCAGCAGGTCGAGGCTGCGGTGGCCGGGAGCGGCCACTGCACTCCAGTCTGGGTGACAGAGTGAGACTCCAACTTAAAAAAAATAATAATAATTTTATTGTTCAGTACTTCTTTCATGAAAATAAAAATTTTTAAAAATTTTAAAGATTGTGTTAAAAAGTAAGACATTTATGTTAATACAAACAACACAGCAGAATATAAGATTAAAAGTAAAAGTCCCTCTTCTTTCCTCAACTCCTTATTCCCAAACCCCATTTAATATGTTCAAGTATATCCTCCTCCAAAATGTCTAAATATATGCAAGTGTTTATGTGCATGTACAGAGATATATGTCTATCTGCAATGATACTTATCTGTATACCTGTATAAATATAAGTTTGTCAGTAGTTCCCTGTGACAATAATCAATAAAATGGAATGCTCAAAGCCCAGACCTGTCAGAACAGATGTGTGGCTGCCCTTGCCTATGCTAGGATCAGTCAGATGGTCTCAGGGGAGAGGAAGCATTTGAAAGATTGGGGCAGAAGCGATTTGTCAACAGAAGCATTTCGGTATTTTAGCCACCAGTTTTCCCACAACTGTTTCTGAAAGGCAAATACTAGACCTCCTTGTCATCATTTGGAGGCTTGTGGTTTTCTCCTCACTGCACACAAGAGTGCCTGCATTCTAGTAAAGACCTCAAAGAACGAGCGCCAGAACACATATGATCCCTTCTGTGCCAACTTTCCATATGTGCAAATTCAGTCCCTTAAAGTATCCCATAGATAGCATACCTGTATCATGTGAAAACTGTGAAGCAGATACAATTTATTTCTAGAACATTCTTTTCAGGATCCCCCCTGTAGCTCAACAGGCCCTTTCCACATCGTAGTGGACCTGTCCTCCGAGTTGTGACCCACCGCTGACTTCAACCACCCAGAGTATAGAGCTGTCAAGCTTCCCATATCTCATAACACTCACGAGTCAAAGCATTATACTGCTTTATTATGCCACTTTTCATATATCTCATTATCATAATAATAACTCATAATGGTGGGACAGTAACTTACACTAGTTTATACCTATCTTTCTACCCAGGACATGGCACATCAATGTCACTGAATAATGTCTCTGTATTATCCTTTTGGAGTTTTGGACTGCATTGGTAAAGACACAAAACACCCAGGATACTTCTTTTTTAGTTTAAAATTCTATGTAGATTTGAAGATAGAGGATTGTGACATTCTCCTCAATTGTCACTCTATTGACTTATAGTGATGATACCTCTTTATTTCCTCCTTTTTTTTTTTACATGTTTACCTTTTATAAAGAGAAAGTACGGAAGCCCTTTGCCTAATATATTCCAGTTTCTTTCTTTCTTTCTTTCTTTTTTTTGAGTCTCACTCTGTCACCCAGACTAGAGTGCAGTGGCTGCTCTCGGCCACCACAGCCTCGACCGGCTGGGCTCCGGTGATCCTTCCGCCTTAATCTTCCGAGTAGCCGGAATTACAGGCGCACGCTACAACGCCCAGCTGATTTTTTTTTTTTTTTTTAATTGTAGAGATGAGGTCTCGTCAAGTTGCCCAGGTGGGTCTCGAACCCGCGGGCTCAGGCAATCCACTCACCTCTGCCTCCCAAAGCACGGGATTACAGGTTGAGCCACCGAGCCTGACCTCCAGTTTCAATCAGTTGACTTCATGTCACTAGAATTTCTTCTCTATTATTTTCTATTTGGGATGTAGAGAAACAGACATTTATTGATATTTATTGCCAAGTTTTTGACCAGGCACTTTACATACATTATCTCATTTAAAAAACATTGTTTAGGGTTTTACATTTTTTCTGTAGTTTTAGGGGTACAAATGGCTTTAGGTTACCTGGATGTATTTTTTTTAACATTTTTTATTTTAAAATTGTGGGGTACAGTTAAGGGTTAGGTATACAAATATGCATTGTGCAGGCACTCTTGTTGATGAGGTGTGCCCCCCCACCCCCAGACACATATTGACTACCATTAATCCCACCTCCCTTCCCCTCCCTGCCCCCCCATAGTTTCCCACTACTGTCAATCCTTTACTTATAGTATTACGATAGTTGTTCAAGGTCCACTTATGAGTGAGAGCATGTGATACTCAGATCTTTGTTTCAGATCTTCTTTGTGAGAGATCACTCAGCATTATAAACTCTAATTCCAACCTGGATGTATTTTATAGTGGTGAAGAAGTCTGAACTTCTAGTGCACCCATCACCCCATGAGTGCACATTGGATCTAATAGGTGATTTTTCATTCCTCCTCCTCCCTTGCTCCAAGGGTCCAGTGTCCATTATACCATTCTATATGTCTTTGCAGGTCCATAGCTTAGCTCTCGTGAGTGAGAACATGTGGTATTTATTTTTTCATTCCTGTGTTACTTCACTTAGGATGATAGCTTCCAATTCCATCAAGAGATTATATATCCCATAGGGTGTGTGTGTGTGTGTGTGTGTGTGTGTGTGTGTGTGTGTGTGTGTGTAGGAATGTAGATATATATATACCTATATAGTGTGTTTATATAAATATATTTATTTATTCATATATATTTATTATACATATTTATATACACACAAATTTAGTGCTATCATGTCTTACATTAAAAATATTACATTTAATACATCTTGAGTTAATTTTTGTATATGGTGAGAGATACAAGTTCAGCTTCATTCTTCTGCACGTGGTTATTCAATTTTCCCAGCACCATTAATTGAACAGGCTATCTTTTTCCCAGTATATGTTTCTTTCTGCTTTGGTGAAAATCAGTTGGTTGTATTTGCATTTATTTCTGAATTCTCTGTTCCATTGGTCCATGTGTCTACTTTTGTACCAGTGATATATATATATATATATCCCAACCTAAGTGCCTAAGTGTCTATCAGTTGAATCAGTGGATAATGAAAATGTGAGCTATATATTATCCACTGATCAACTGATAGGCACTTATGTTGATTCCACATCTTTGCAATTGTGAATTGGGTTGTGACAAACATATGAATGTAGGTGTCTTATTTGAAATGATCTCTTTTCCTCTGAATAGATATCAAGTAGTTGGATCACTGGATCGAATGGCGGGGTCTACTTTTAATTCTTTGAGAAATCTCCATATTGATTTCCATAGAGGTTGTACTCATTTATACTCCCATAGTGCATAAATGTTGACTTTTCACTGCATCTGTGCCAACATTTTTTTTTTTTTTTTTACTTTTTAGTAATGGCCATTCTGACTGGGAAAAGATAGTATCTCATTGTGGTTTTAATTTGCATGTCTCTCACGATTAGTGAGAGCATTTTTAGGTAGGTTTGTTAGCCATTTGTATATCTTCTTTTAAGACATGTCTGTTCATGTCATTTGCCTACTTTTTAATGGGGTTATTTATTTTTTTCCTGCTGATTTGTTTGAGTTTCTTGTAGAATTTGAATATTAGTCCTTTGTTGGATATACAGATTTCAAATATTTTTCTCCATTCTGTAGATTGCCTATTTACTCTGTTGATTATTCCATTTGCTGTGCAGAGGCCTTTTAGTTTAATTAAGTACCACTTATTAATTTTTGTTTTTGTTGCATTTGCTTTTAGAGTCTTAGACGTAACTTCTTTGTTTAGGCCAATGCCCAGAAGAGTTTTTTATAGTTTCTCATCTACAATTTAATGATATCACGTCTTACGTTAAAAATATTACATTTAATCCATCATAAGTTAATTTCTGTATATGGTAAGAGGTAGAAGTTCAGTTTCATCCTTCCATATTCCATAGGCATATTCCATACCCATATTCAATTTTCTCAGCACCCTCTGTTGAATAAGGTGTTCTTTTTCCAACATATGTTTCTTTTTCTGCTTTGTTGAAGATCAGTTGGTTGTACGTTTTTGCGTTTATTTCTGAATTCTCTATTCTGTTCCTTTGGTCCATGTGTCTACTTTTGTACCAGTACCATGCTATTTTGGTTACTATAGAGCCCAAATAGCCAAAGCATTATCTCACTGAATCCAAATTCTTTCTCAGTGTATGTTTATTATTGACCTTAGTTCACAGAAAAGGCTGCTAAAAGTTGAAAAAGTGAGATAATCCTCCCAGGTTCACATAAATGCTGAGACCAAAATGTGAACATAGGAGTGTGCTTATGTTGTTTTTGTTCCACACTTACTCCAAAATGGTAATTTTTGGAGGATTATGTGATTTATGTAAACATGTTTTCTAAACTCTCAAGCACTATTCACACCTGAAATTTCTAACTAGTATTTTATAGTATCTAACATAGTAAGGTTAGTAAATTGGTATTTAATAAGTGCTTTAGGTGGTATTGATTATAATGGAACTTTAAAAGTCAGGTGAAATGATGCCATAGAGTTGTTAGAGAACTAAAATCTAGTCTTTATCCATTTCTTTTAAAGCTACAGTTGTTAAAATGAAACATTTCTTCTTAGTCAAAAGTTATTAAATATGAACATGTTAATAGTAAAATCATTTCAGAGAACATCATAGAGTTATAGAATAAAATCTGAAATCGAATCTACTGCAGCATTAAGCCTTATATCTGACATGAACTGATAAGGATATTTGGAAATTCACAATTATGGTATAACAATAACACAGAAACAACATTGTTTCTCTTGCCCAGGTGTTCCAGATTGCATATGTGATCGTGAAGGCAGCTAATTCCCCTCGGCCTGGAAACTGGATTTTGGAGCGCTCGCTTGATAATGTTGAATACAGGCCCTGGCAGTACCATGCTGTGACGGACACAGAGTGCCTGGCTCGCTACAATATTTATCCCCGCACTGGGCCACCGTCATATGCCAAAGATGATGAGGTCATCTGCACTTCATTTTATTCCAAGATACATCCCCTGGAAAATGGAGAGGTAAGATGAGAAAACTCACCACTTAAGTACATTGAAGATGGCCAAATAGACCTGCCAGAAAGACCTGACTATATCAGTAATTAATGTCAGGGAGATTTTAAAATAGGATTTAGAAGAAGTACTTTTAAATGAGTTATTAAATAAAAAAAAAAGAAAAACCTAGGATGATTAGAATTTTAACTACTTTCATGTGTCTCCCATCTCCAATAAAGATCAGAGAAGAGGAAATAGGTTTAAGTTGGAAAGCCAATGATCCATTTTACATATAAAGAGACTTTCTCAACAATGAGGATTGCTTATGATTAGAGAAGGATTGCAGACCTAAAAGGCGACCTTACACTTGTGTGTACTCTGGTCTGAAGATGGAGACAAACGAGATGAATCTGTGAAGAAAGACCCAAATAAAAAGTAGTTTTGTCAATCTTTGCATGTTTGTCTGCCGTCACCACATAGAACTATATGGTGGGGTTTCTTCCCTGTGTCAGGCTTTACTGAATAATAATGTGCAGGAAATCATAGGTTCTCAGTTATGTGCTAGCTAGGTCAATTCAAAGGTGTTCTGCTTCCTTGTAGTGTCTTTTATCTTGTGGTTAAGATTTTAGATTCATGTATCTGTGATTTTAGATTCCAGCCATGGGTTCATTTGTTATTAGCTGTGTGTTCTTGATCCAATTACTTAAATTCTCTGTGCCTCAGCTTCATCTCCCATAAAGCAGGAACAACAATAATAGTTCTTATGTCATATGCTTGTCAAGAAGAGTAAATTACTTATTATTTATTTAAAGCATTAGAACAGTGTTGAAATACACGAAGCACTCTATAAGCATTAACTATTTTGTGACTGTGGCTATGACAGGAATAATAATGATAACAATAACTACTGCTATTATTGTCATCAGTTTCCTCTCAAATACCTAGACCTTGACTTACTGACTCTGTTGGACTCCCTATTCCCGCTTTAGTATAATTCCCTAACCCATCTCCCTCTAGTATAACTGTGGTCTCTCTCCTTCCATCCCACCTTCTCATGTATATCGCCTAATACTCGTGTCTGATATTCTCATTCCTGGTATTCTCTCCCTATCAGTTCTCAGAGCTGAAGCTAGTATCATCTATCATATTCACATTTTCAGAAGACACAAATTCACTTTCTGTCATGCCCACCCCAGCCAATCCAGAGTTATCTCCAGACACTTCTGGGGGAAAGTCAGGTTTGTAACACAAATCGATCAGTCTCCCTTTTGGCACTGTATTGTCTTTTATCTTGTGGTTAAGATTTTAGTGAATGTATACCAGTGCCACACTACATTTCAGATTCCGTGTTCAAAAATACCAGGTTTGGGAAAAGCATTCCAAATGCTGCTCTCCGCAGAGGTCTCAATTTGCCAAATGACAAAGAGTCAAAAGCAGTGAGTCAAACAGCTGTTCAACCTGCTTTGTGCCCAGAGGCCTCCAACTCCTGGCCAGTTTGGCCTGAGGATATGGGAGCAGGGAGTGCAGAAAAAATATATTTGAGTTCAATTTTTATTATTTTTATTCTGATTCAATGTTTACATAGAACTAATAACCTCTAATATTTGAATGCTATTTTTGCCTCTTAAAAATGATCCAATACAGAAATTGGCTGAGTAATATAAAATATACCTAAGTGAATATGTAACATGCAATGCACAAGCAAATCCCGCCCCCCTTGCACATTACATGCCCCTACATTATATCCTCCCCTCCCCCACGTTAATGATTGTTCTCTATCCTTAGACCAAGTCAGCCTGCCAACATGGAACAGACATGCTTGCTTGTTTGTTTCTTTAACTGGCTAGACAATATTAACTAAACAGTACTCATTGGTGGTAACTACTAAGAACAACTAAGTCAACTTTCTCTGTTCCATATATCCTTAAATCTATTTGTCTCTGACAGGGAAATAGATAAATGAGGAACAGAAAGTTATACAAATTCTGTATTTGAAATAGAATGACATAGGGTTTAAGAATAAAATTTAACTACAGACCTCTCCTTGGCTATCTTCTCATTTTATGCCACTTACTTTGTAGGTTATGTTACTTTTTGGAAAATACAAGCCCAGAGACAGCAGGTGATATTATCTAAGACTCCCAACTCTACTGGTAACAGAGTTGAAATAAGATTGAGGTTTCCTGATTAATGGTAATGTTTCACTTATACTCTTGTGGAGACTGGAAGTTGATTTTCACAAGTTGGCAATTGCTAAACTCAAAAATGACTCAGAAGAAATACGGTGTTGTTGGATCCAGTGTAAACAGAAAGAGTCCCAATTCTGAGATACCATGTTATAAAAAAAAATCACATGGGATTATAAGACCTGTGATTTAACCCTGCCTCGAGTTATTTGTGGGACCTTGAGAATATCAGTTAATCTCTCTGGGACTAAATTTCTGAAATAGATGGATTAGATTAATACATAAATTGTTCTAAAACACCTTCATGTTCTAAAGTAATATAGTTTTGGATATCATACAACATTTGAGGATATTCTCAAAGTTTTGTATGCTTGTCTCTAACATTTCTTAGACATATGAGTCTGAAATAAATCTTAGTCCCACTTATTAGCTTTAGTTTTAAAATGTACTTTTGGATAACTCCTGAAATGAAATAACTAGGTGATTATATTCAAAATTTCCCAGAAAGTTTATGGTCAAGTTAGAGAAACAAACATATAAATCAGCAAACAGAATATGATATAATAGGTGATTCAACAGAAGTATGTACAGAGAGGGGTAAAATCTTCCCCCTGCATGAGCGGGAGGAGCCTGATTAAAAAGATAACTTGTCAAAATACAGGGAAACCGGCCGCAACTCTTACTATCTCAAAAGTTTCAAGAACAATATGCAAATTAATCTTCAGTGGTACCTATGTGTTAAACTCGGTATATAACAGAATTCCTCTCTATTGTTGAAGTATCTTTTTTTTACTTTAGATTCAGGTTTGTTATTGTGTGACTCAAGTTTGGGTATATTGTGTGATGGTGAAATTTGGGCTTCTTTGGAGCTCATCACCCAAATAGTGAGTATGGTACCCAATAGGAATTTTTAAAAATATACCGCTTCCCTTTTTTCCTCTTTAGGAGTCCCCAGTATCTGTTGTTCCCATCTTTATGACCATGCATACCCAGTGTTTAGCTCCCACTTATAAGTGAAAACATGAGGTATTTGTTTTTCTGGTTCTGTGTTAATTCATTTAGAATAATTGCCTCCACCTGCATCCAGGTTCCTGCAAAGGACATAATTTTTTTGTAATGGCTACATAGTATTCCATGATATATATGTACCCCATTTTCTTTAACCAGTCCAATTCATGGATCAAATTGAGTCCATGTTTTTGCTATTGTGAATAGTGCTGCAATAAACATGAGTGCTAGTGTCTTTTTGGTAGAGCAATTTACTCCTTTGGGGATATAACCAGGAGTGAGATTGCTGGGTTGAATGGCAAATCTACTGTTATTGGGTATCGAATTCTAGGTCTGTAGTTTTTTTGTTTTGGCATATATTATTTTCCGGTTCTGATTGTTTATGTCCAGAATGTAGCTATCTACTTACTATCATGTGGAGTGTCATTTCTCTGATTACTTTAAAGATTTTTTTGTTTGTTTTTTAGTAGTTTACTGCAATGCTCCAGATCCTCACCGCCCAATACAATAGTCACTAATTATATGAGGTTATTTAAATTTCAGTTAATTCAAATTAAATTGAAATTTAATTTGGCAGCAGACATGCTCGCTGTTGTTCTGCCCATTGTGCTCTTCACAATGTACCTTTCCTTTAATAAATCTACCTTTCTAAATTTTTTTAAAGTTAGTTTTTCAGTTGCACTAATCACATGCAACTAGCAGCTACCACAATGAATTGCACAGAATAAAATATTTCCTTCATTGCACAAAACTTTGTTGGGAAATGCAACTCTAGATCGTACCTTTTATTTTCTGGATTGAGATTCATTTGGCTTGCTATATCTGCAGAGTGATGTCTTTCATCAGTTCTGAAAATAATTAAACTATTAGTTCTCTGAATATTGTTTCTTTTCCCATCTCTCTCCTCTATAATTCTAGTTAAACAATAACTGAGAACTTCTTGCTGTACACACTATGTGTCTTACCCTGTCTTCTGTAGTTTCATCCTTTGTCTTTCTGAATCTTCATTCTAGATATTTTCTTCTGAACTACTTCTAGTTCATTAATTATCTCCTCAGCAATGTAAAACCTACTCATAAAAACTATTCATAGAACTTAATTGCATCTATTATATTTTCCAGTTTCTAGAATCTCTGGTTCATTTTCAAATAAAAGTTGAGCGTTTCTAGTTTTATGTTGAAATTTTATATTTATATTGAAATTTTAATATGACAATATAATTTATGTTGAAAATTTTAATAACCTATTTTTATCTCCTTGAGCATAAAGCAGCAATTATTTAAGAGTCTTGTCTGATGATTCTAATATGTGGCCTTTGTGGATATATTTTATTGTCTGTTTTATCTGCTGGTTCTTTTTTATGCTGTCTTATATGCCGATTATCTTTGTGTTACAGAAGTGGTATTTGAAAAATTTTGTGTAGAAATAGTTTGAGGGCTAGTATATTATCTTTATCCTGTGCTGATTTTCTGATGTGGCTGCCAGACAATGGCAATCTGGATCATCTTAATTCAATTTCAGGGATTCAAATTTCTGGGACATTTAGATGATTCAAAGCTGTGCTATAACTCTATGACAGCTGCTTTAATTCCAGTTTACCCTCATTCCTAGGCTTCTTGTGTTTGGAGTTCAAGCCAATGTGTGTGGAATTTACTAAACTCCCACCCATACATGTCCTGGAATCCAATTTTTGTCCTCCTAATACAGCAAGGCTGTCAAAGTGCTGCTCAGTCTATCAGCCATGTCTCTGGACAGGGAAATGCCCACAGGACAAAAACTGTCACAGTATACCAATCACCACTCTGGAGAACTTCTTGTCCTTGATATTGAGAA